CTGGGGGACTCCCATTGCGTTGCTCCTTTTGTCATAGTCACCTCTGGGTGCACTATGTTGTTTGGTGAGGTTGGGCCATGACGAAAGGGGTAGTCTAAGAAAATCCAAGTAATGAAGAGTAAACTTAAAGAAAGAAGGAACCAAACAGGAGGCTGGAGGTGTCATGTCTCTCTTCCTATCTTGGGGGAAAAATAAACAATTTGGTGATATGGGGGACTTGAAACACAGGTGCAAAAATGGAGGATGTCATGACCTATCAGTTCCTCTCTGGCCCCATTCCCTGGCCAGGTCAGCCGTAGCTTTGTCCATCATCTTCTCTTCACTGGACCATCTGTCTTGCTAGTGAGTGGCTGCTTGGCTGGGTGACAGAGGCTGTTGTCCTGCCATCAACAGTACTTAGAGGTGAGGGGCTTGGCAGGAGGCAGCTGCTGCCCTGGACATCTGGGATGCAAGTAGGAGCAGACCTCAATATGTTGTGCACTCTGATTCATTTCCAATTTAAAAGTAAAGTTTTTTTTTTTAATTAAAAAAGTTTTTAATGTTGGACATTATTTCAAATTAAAAATGTAATTAAGAATAGTGTGTATGTCATCCAGACAGAACATCCTTTGGTATACTCTCCCTTTTTTTTTGTTTATGTAGAGAGGAACAGAGAGAGAGAGAGAGAAACATCGATGTGAAAGAAACACATCGAGTGGCTGCCTCCCGCACGACCCAACCAGGGCCGGGGACAAACTGCAACCGAAGTACATGCCCTTAGCGGGAACCAAACCCGGGTCTCTCAGGACCGCAGGCCGACGCTCTAACCGCTGAGCCAAACCGGCCAGGGCCTTTGGTATGCTCTCTATCATCTCTTTCCACCTCTGCTCATGTTCCAGGGTCTGTTTGCAGTCTCCAAACCCCCCCCCCCCCAGATGGCCTCTTTGGATCCACAAAGCCTTGTTCTATTGGAGTGTCCATAGTTGTCTGCCTTGGCCCTGGCAAACTTCTCCTCTTTTCCAATTAGTGGGGGAGTGAGTGAATCAGTGGGTACCTCAGACCACAGCTCACCTCCAAGGAGCAGGGAGAGAGAGGAATCATCTCATAGCTGCTCTGGGCGTGGCTGGCACATTCCTGCTGTGCAAGACACGTAAAACAACCACAACAGGTGAAATCAACTCCGTAAGGCCAAACCGGATTTATCGCAGACGTGCGGCAGGTCTTCATTAAGCCTACTCAGTCGTCCCTCGTTTATCGCGGTTAATGCGTTCCAGACTCCAGCGGTGGCACCTGGCGTTGAAGGACTCCTGGGGTGCTCGAATACATGGGCCTACAGTCCATACGTACAGTAATTTTAATTGTAATAGAGGGGTATATAATTGACTCAGACAACCGAGCGCGTGCTGTATCATTTTCACTGTCTCGGTCAACTTTTTAATAAATATATTTGAAAAACTGCGATAGAGCGAAGCCGCGAAAGTCGAAGCGCGAAGTGGCGAGGGACGACTTCGTACCATGATGTGGCTCTTGGGCTGGGCAGGTCCCATGGCAATAAAGTATGAAGTCAAGCATTCAAGCCCTGGACCTGGACCTAAACAGGCTCCAGATGGGGCCAGCTCCTTCCTCCCTCCATGGTTCTGAGGGAAAGTCATGGATGCACAGCCTCCTGGTGTACCTGGCACAGGTGCTGGGAAGGAATGGTCAAAGTTCCTTGGGGCAGTGTGGGCAATAGAGCAATGACCGTGCTTCCCACTGGACTTCACGACAGCCTTCAGAATCCAGACGATGTTCTGCCTTTTCCTAGAGGACATGCCTTGCTGTTTTCCAGGAAACTCGAACCCCTCAGCACAGGCCCATTTGTCTATGTCCCAGTATTTCAGTTCCACCACCACACCTCAGTGACAGCATTGCGTCAATGTTCCTGAGGACCCTGCATGGCCACGGAGAGGGTCTGTCCACAGAGAGGAAGCGATTCCAGGCTTTGCCTCCCAGGATCTTACTGCGTGATGCTGGCCTGTCCACGTAGGAGAGCTGGAGGCTTCTGACTTACTCTCTGATGGGAGAGGGACTGGAAAGTGTCACCAGGGGGACTGGCTTCAGTCAGGATGACCCAAGGACCCACGAAGAGAGCTTGAGTCAACTCAGCTTCTTTCATAATCCCTGGTGCTCACCCAGAGATCGAGATGGAACCTGCTATTAAGGAACCGGGCAAGTCAAAAATCTTTCTAAAGAGATTCTGAATAATATCTCTTTACAGTTTATACTATAGAAAAATATCCAGAGTGATAGAAATGACTCTATTTCTTATTAAATTTAAAAGACTCTTTCTGGGGCTATAAATAAATTCTCCATCACTCACTTAGGGTAATGAAGCTTGTAAATCTTCTGCCCTGAAGTTTTACGTCCCAGCTTGCCTTTTCCTACCAGCCAGCTTGTGCCAACTTTGTTACCCACCACCGGTTCATGTATGCGTCAAGAATGAAAAATAATTTTAATATTTGCCAAGGTAAAATATAATTAGGTTGGCAAATATGCCATTAAAAGGGTGTGAACAAAATCTCCAGACTAAATAGAAATTATTTCTGGATTGTCTTCTGTTTGCAATTATCTCTATTATCGATCTCTTCTATGATCACGGGTAATCAGAAGTTGATCATATTTAAAAATAAAACCAAGCCCAAATAGAGCAGTGTAAATAAAAAACCATAACTAGGGGACAAAGTAGGAGGAAAAATTGCAAATGAACCATATGTGCTTTATCAATCATTATTCTATACATGCATCCATCCATCCATCCATCCATCCAGTATTTAGTGTGCTACATATGCAAGGCACAGTTCTAGGAGTTGCATGGCACAGTAGAAAGTCTTACAAGCTTCAGAGTCACACTGGCCTGAGTTACAATCCTAGTGACATGCTATCTAGTAATACTTTTTCTTACTCCTTGCTGCATCATCCACTGACTGTCCCATCTTTCTCTCTCATTTATGGGATAATTCAGTATCTGATTTACTCTTGTATTCCTCTCCCAAAGACAGTCAGCACTCTTAGTGTTTTTAGCATGAAAATTGATGACTCATCCACACCATGGCCTCTCAGTTCCTGATCTCATCTTCCTTCACCTTTTAATTTTCCAAATAAATGATGGAACACTGATTACTTGCCAGGCACTGTCTAGATACAAGGGCTGTAGGAGTAATGTGATATACATGATGTTTGACCTCATGGAATTTATACAGGTGGAAAGGTATAAAACAATAAGCAAGCAAACAAGAAAATTTTGTCTAGACAGTTGCTATTAAATAGAATAAATGGCCTGTTCTGGATAGAGAATAATAGGGTTGAAGGTTTGAGTTTGCATAGGAGGATGAAAGAAGTTCTCTCTGAGATGATGAAATGTTGAATAGAGACTTGAAAGATGAAAAGAGGTTGACCGTGCAAAGAGCCAGGGGAGAAACAATTCAGGAAGAAGAAACCAGAAGTCCAAAAAGGCTTTGGGGTGGTAATGAGCGTGGAATATTCCAGGAATAGAAAGTTGGCATGAATGGCTTAAGCAGTGAGTAGAGGGGGTGGTACTGGATGACATGAATTGGTGGGATGTATGTGTGTGCTTTTGTTGCTTTGGTTGTTTGTATCTTATGTGCACAAAGTTGAATTGATCTTCTCAGTTTATTATACTCTAACTTTGCTAGTCTGTGGCTGCTCTCTCTAAAACTTTACTTCCCCATTTATCTCCAATTTCCAATTCGATTACCCTCTCTCTCATATACTTCCATTTTTGTGTATTTATCTTTTGTATATGTTCTTCCATTCTATTTTCCATGCATCTACTTACATACAAGTATCCATGTTTGTTGTATTTTATAGTACTTGGATTAATGGTATTGTGCAATAGATCTTGCTCTAGTCTTTAAATTTTTTCACTCAAGTTTTTGAGATCTCTACATATTGTTATATATATCTAGTTCATTTTTTTACTTGTTGTATAATATTCCATCACATGTACCTATACTTTTTAATTATTCATTTCTCAGTTTGTGGCTACCTAAGTTCTTTCAAGTTATTTACCACCAGGAACAACACTGTACATGTGTTCCCCAGTGAGAGCTTCGAGATGTATCCTCATACATGGGAATGTTGGCTCATAAAATATAAGAATTATTTAATTTCACTAAGTATAACTAGTTTGATTTCCCAAATTCTATACCAGTGTAAATTCTCATTTGCAATGGGCAGTTTTTTTATATACTTACCATCAAATCAACTTAAAATCTTTCATAGCTGTTTAACTTTATTCTCAGAATGCTCAGCCACATTAGCCATTCTGTCATTTTTTTTTTTTTGATCCAGGAAAATGATACGCCATATGGAGCAGGGCCAAACCTCTCAAACGAAACCCAGCCTAGATCAAACAAGCAGATCCTCAGATGCATGAGTGGACCATTAGGTGACACTAAGACCCTTTCAGGGAATCAGCAAGATAAAAATTGTTTTCATAATAATACCAACACTTCATTTGCTTTTTTGAACGCCCATTTTCTCATGAATGTACAGAGGTTTTCCAGAGGCCACATGATATGTGATGTTGCAAGAGGTTGAATGCAGAAGCAGACAGAAGACCAACTGTTTTATATTAAGCTAGATATAAAAGGGATTAGAAAAATGTAAAATATCCTTCTCACTAATCTTTTAATTTAGAAAATATAGTTATTTTTCATAAAATATATTATTTAAGTTAATGTATAATTACTGTTTATCACTGTTATTTAGAAATTAAACAGGTTAATTTTTTAAGTGACTCAGTTTTAATTCCTCACATGATAAATATCAATATATACAATGCTCATATGAAATCTTTCTGGAGTCCTCAGAAGTTTCAAATACTGTCCTGAGACTAAACATTTGAAAATTGTTGCTCTCAAGAATGGCCAGATAAAACTGGGGAGAGATCTGAGGATTCTAACTTCTTTTTGAACATAAAATTTATTTGCTTTTCTCTCTCTTTTATCCCTTCCTTTCAGAGGTTCCTGTACCATAGACAGCAAAACAGAGAGACAGACAGAGCTTATGTTCCTGAAGACATTGTTAAGCTGATGAATCAACCAGCCCCGAAGGCTGGAACATAGCTATGGAAATGCGTCCTGTTCTGTGAGATAATAATTTTCTTTGTTTGATTTGAGGTGGTTGTTAATTGCAGCTGAAAACATAAGGGAAGCGGAGAGAGGAGAGTGTTTTAAGAATCTAGGAGCAATTAAGTCTTAGATAATGAACACTGAAGGTTGTCCTAGAATTTGGCTACCCAGAGGCTGGGGGTGACCTTGACAGGTCATTTTCAGAGGAATGGTAGAGTTGCAAACCAGATTAACTTGACTTCCGGCAAACTCACTCTCCAGCTGGTGTTGCTTTGTCTTTTTCTTTGTCTCCTTTATCTTCCTTCTCTACCAGACCACAAAATGCTGGGGTTCTTCTCAGCTTAGTCTGCAGTTTCTTCTCTTTATATTCTTTTTCTTAACGCCATTCTTTCCCCACAGGTCTAAATGTCATTTTATGTTGATGTCGCCCCAGATTTACATTTCCAGCCCAGGTATCTCTCTGCATTTGATTCACACGTGCAACTGCTCACCTGCCATCTCCAGCTGAATATTTCCTAGACATGTCTGATTTAACCAGGCCAAAGCCCATGTACTGATGTCCCCCATCCCGCCTGCCCGCTCCCTTCCCTCAGCTGTCTCTATCATTCACAGAATCCCCATGGACCCCCCGCTGCTTGAGGCAGAAATCCAAGTGTCCCTGTTGAGTCCCCTCATTCCCTCTCTCCCTGGTTCTAATCCTTTAGGAAGTTTTATTGATTCAAACTGCAACATGTAACGGGAGTCATCTTCTCTCCTTGTTCAAAACCATCCTCTTGACTCATATCACTAACACTTCTTGTTTGCAGTATTAAAAAACCTCCCAGCTGGCCCCTCCTCCATTCTTTCTCTCCTCCACCCAGAAGACTGATCTTAAAAAAAAAAAGCGATGTAGATCATGTTGCTCCTCCTGCTTTAAATCCTTCCACTGCTTCTGTCTCTATTATAAAAGTCCCGACTCCTCCTCATGACCGACAAGGACTTCCCTACTCTGGGCCCTGCTAGTTCCCTCAGCCTCACTGCATTCTGTCCTCCCATCCTTGCTCGCCTCCCTCTGGCTTAGACTGATCATTTAGTTTCTTGACCAATCTGCTTATTCTATTTTGGATGTTCTTCTCACCCCTCACTGCTTGGAGAGCTACTTCTACCCCTTTAAATCCCAGCTAAATGTAATCTCTTTAGTACGGCCTTTCCTTCGATTTCACCTAAGATCAGTTTGCCAAGTATCTCCTACTGAGTGCTTTGTTTGGTTTGATTTTCTAATTAAATTTTTTTTTTATAGCATATATAAGAATTCAGAGTCACTATGTAAAACTATTTCTAAATATTCTGTGTTTGGCCACACAGTAGGAAAGGTCTCACGCTTGCTAAGTGCTCTCAGGTGAAGGGCGGTTTCCATCACGGCCTTGGCTCCCTTATAAAGGAACAAGAGTTCATTTCCTAGACGAGTTCAGTAACTCTTAGTGACTCAGGAGAAAAAATAACCAGAGAAAAACACCAGAGACCATACTGACTCTTGGACTCCAGAATAATTATTTCTGAACTCTCCCAACTGAACCCATAAGAGATTCATTTAGTAATGTTAGATCCTTTCAAAGATCCAGTCTTTTGTCACAGATTTACTGGGCATGTTACTAAACCAAATGTCTTGTGACTCCTCAATTTGATTGTTAATAATAGTGAATCAATAACTTTGTGTCCCTTCTTTGAAGTCTGCAGCTCAAGTGTATCTGAGAGGACCCCCCAGAGGGAAGGGAGGGAAACAGGGACCCGATCTTGGGATTTCCGGTTCGGGTGACCACTTTTGCTTGACAATGTTGGGGCCAGTGGTGGGGATGCTGAGCTGATATCTAGACAGGCAGATGATACCAGACTGAGTGTATTTGGGCCCTGAATGCGCATCTTCTCTTCTGGCATCTCAGCAGAACAGGATTTTGGGGAACGTATCTCTGTGTTGGGATGTCATGGAAGGCAAAACCAAAAGCAAGCAGACAGGGGATTCCTACATTGCCTGCCTTCCTCTCTGTAGCAAAATTTTGAGAATCTTCATAGGGAAGAAGAGGGAAATGCCCTTGGAGATGCCAGTCCAGGAGGAGGGGGCAGGAAGGAACTGTGGCACAGTGTTCTATGCAGCTCTTGAGGCAGCTGTTTGTACCTGGGGGGCAAGCCAAGGGGTTTGACTTCCTGTACAGGGCAGGTCCTTTGGCCTAGGGCAAGTCTCTAGAGAAGGGGCAGCTGTGAACAGTTAGCAGCCAATATTCACAGCAGCTGAAGCACCCACATAGAAAAAAGGACCTGGGTGGGGCACCAACGCATCATGATAGCCGCCGTCCAGGGCGGGGTTACTCCTCAAAGCCAATTCCACCTTTCCTTGTGTCTGAAGACCTCTCTGCGCCATCGGGCCTGAGATGGCCACGCCCTCCCCCTTGGCCCTTTGACCTTTCCATTTCCATCTCGTTGTCATTGACTCTTTACTTGTCTGTATTCTCCACCAGGCAGAGCTCCTTCAGGGGGGAATTTGGCTTTACCCCCCCCCCCCATGTCTTCTCATCTCCAGAGGCTGGCACCGTCCTTGGCACAGAGGAGGTAAGTGCAGCACTCCCTCGTGTCCCAGGTCCCCTGCCTAGTGATCCTTCTCTATGCCCTCAGTACTGCCCTCTGTTCACTCGTCAAGGTCATGGACTAAATCACAACCTTGGGAGACTTCGATGAACCATGTGTGAAAATTGGGCAATGCTCAGAGGAATTGAGAGTCACCAGCCTTGTTTTTGGGTTATATATGCCTTTAAAAAGTTTATTTAAAACACATTGTATGTTAAATCTCTTCTCCCTACTTCCCAAATGGCACAGTGGAAGACAATCCCGCTGTGCCCCTCTTGGAGAGAAAAAGAGCCTAGGAAATCTTAAAGCGGAGTGATTATTCCCATCAGCAGAAATCAGCCGTCGGGGTCTGAACTGAGGGAGTCCCGGGAGAGCCTGACTTTCATTTCGTTTGGATGCCATTTGCATGCATTCAGTGCTGAGAGGGTCGCTTCGGGAACTCGGATGAAAGAGAAGTCAATGGGGAGAAAGGAGAGAAGGGACAGAGACAGAAGACTGGGGAGTGGGTGATATTGGAGAGATTTCCGTGTTTATTAGCAACTGCTTGGGAGCCTAGGGACATTCTCAGCCTGACACCTTGCATGCCCCACTAGGCTCCTGAGCCATGGAGGAGCCAGCAAGGCACAGGATAGGTCGGGCTTTTGGGGACACGCTGTGATCGCTCCCAGAAATGAGTGATGGTTGAGTCATAGCCTCCCCAGGTGAACATCTCTCCTTGTCTGTAAGAGAAGCAACTCGGGGAAATGCATGAACTTTCCCTGGCTGCCTCTAGGGCTCTGCAGCTGCAGGGTGCGAGGTGCACCCATCAAACAGCCAAATGAGGGTCTGGGGAATCTGAGGGGCCGTGTGTCATTCATCTACGCAACTGGCACTTCAGGGTAAGTAAGGAGGAGGTGAAATGAATCTTCCAGGGGCTTCGAGACTCCGCTTGTGTTCTTTTCCCTGCATCAATGTCCACAGGTGTCTTCTGTCTACACTTGATCCCTCCATCTGAAGATTGTTTTTACAGTAGGAGTTCATTTAAAAATGAAATTCAAATGTGTTAAGCACCTCTATGGGCAAGGCCCTTAGTTAATTGATGGGGACCCAGATTACTGGTTTATAGGAGACAGACGTATTAATAGATGAGGGCAGGGGGCACGTGGTATTAGGGGGAAGGTACTCTTTGCTGCGTTGGGGTTGGGAGTAGAGTCAGGAATGTCTGGTGCGTTTGGCAGGCAAGTTTTCTAGGCAGAGGGAACGGCCTGTTCAAGGGCTTAGAAGTCTAAGCAACAGCAGTGTTCAGGGCTGGCCAAGCAATTTGATATGTTGGAGAAGGAAGTCAGGGTGTATGGACTGGGCTTGAGGTCCTCACCTGTGGCTGAAGAGCTTGGCAGAGACCCTGCCATAAAAGGCATTAAGAAGAGCATTCATATGAAGGAGCAATGGTGCCTCGAGACTTAAACGCCATGTTTCTTAATTGTAATCATTGTAATTGTAACTGCTGAGAGCAGGGATGACAAAGGTGGGGTTTTTGGAGTCAAAGTACTGGTAGGTGAATTTTTCCTTGGGCAAGGAAGTTTCTCTTGCTCCTACTTTAGGCTGTTTCTGAACTAGCTCTGGAATATACCCACCTTGACGAGTCATTTATTTACTGAGCCACCTACTATATACTCAGAATAATATATGTGGCTGAGAAATACCAAAGTGTCCCAGGTCATGGAGTCTTGTCGCTCCAATGGGATGGAGCTCTGCTCACTGCCAGGACTAACTGCCCACCACGCCTGGCTTGACATGAGCCGCAATCATTCTTAAATCTCTAGTGTATCCATGGCACATGCTCCGTAAAGGCTTGATGACTGAATGACTAGTACACATGACATCATTTGTGAACACAGGTTGTGGGAAAGCCTTTGTGAGTCTAACATTAATAATGGTCTTCTGCAGTTCGGGGATGTGGGGGTTGACCTGGGCTGAGCAAAGTCGATCTGGTCTTGCTTCTTCCCTGAACTGTTTTGTGGTTGGAATGAGCCTCTTTGTAGCATCTGGAAGATAAGAGATTTGAATCAGCGCTTCCCTAATGTCCCTTCCAGTTCAAACATAATAATATTTTCAATCTATGAATAGGAATATCAAGAATCCTGGATTCAAAGACAAGAAAGACTGTGCACCCTGAAGGTTGTGGCAAGATGCAAAAGACCCCCGCAAAGGTACCTGGAGCTGAGAATCCACTTCTACTTTGCTCAGAAAGTGCTTGTTTTTATTCCTTGTAAAATATAGCTGGAAAGACCTATAGTCTATTCTGGGGTGTTGTGGCAATTAATTAGTTAATGTTTGTGAGGTACAAAAGGAACAGAAAGTGCTGCATGTAAAACGTCATATAAATGCTAAGTGTTATTGTTTTCCATCTGATTCTCCCCCATTTGATTTCAGTTGCATATCAGAGTAGTCATAACAGCATCAGTTGGGGCTCCTCTGGCTAATTATGCTGCCAATAAAAGGGGAAAAATTCCCTTTTAAATTTCCATTTTAATTTCTCTCCGTCTATGACCCCTCCTCCTCTCTTTTCTCCAGTGTGTTGTGTAGAGTTGCTAACTACTCGGGGGTCAGTAAAAGTCAGCACCTTCTGATTTTTCTCCATACTCATTGCCGTCTGTGAGAGACCGACATTCTTCCAGCAAGTTAGCAAATGGTGCGTCGGTGCCTACCCAGCAAAAGAGCTCAGGTGGGTCTCTCCTTCCCAGGGGCTCCTATCTGTGGGGGAGGAGTAGAGACCAGCCCCCTCTCCTGCACAGGTGACATTGTTCAAGGAATAGTGTGACAAGTTTGGCGAGAGCCAGGCAATGGCATCCTTGACAAGCCATGTAATAAACTGAGGGGTAATTGATACAAAGGCCGACTCCCCTGTGTATCAGTTTTCTATTGCCATGTTGATGCCCTGTAACCAACCTAAAACGTAGTGGCTTAAAACAAGTATTTCTTTGGTTTAAGAGGCTGCAGGTTGATGACTCTGACCTGGCTCAGCTGGGTGTGTTCTCATGGCCAGGGGTTAGCTGGCTCTTGCCAGTGTAGGCGATCCTTGGAGGGGTTGGCCGATCCTTGGAGGGGTTGGCCGGAGAGAGCTCTGCCCTGCTGCCTCTCCTTCTTCAGTGGGCTAGCCTGGGTATGGCATTCTTCCGACACTGCAGAGGTGCAGAAGTGAGAAGGCAATCCTCAAGGTCTCCCAAGGTGGGTGGTGGGATACAGACTGCTGCTTTGGTGGGAGGGACGGCAAAAATCACACCGCAAAGGGCAGGATGCAAAAAGGGGCGAAAAATCGGTGCAGTTCATGCAACAAACGTACTACAACGTGCCTCAGCCCTAGACTTTCTATATCTCTGGGGATCAGGACATTTGCATTTTAAAAAATATGTTCTTATTGATTTTTTAGAGCGAGAGGAAGGGAGAAAGAGATAGAAACATCGATGTGTGAGAGAAACGTTGATCAGAAGCCTCCTGCACGCCCCCAACTCGCAACCCGGGCACGTGCCCTGACCAGGAATTGAACCGGGACCTCTCAGTCCATGAGAATGACGCTCAATCCATTGAGCCACACTGGCCAGGCAGGGCAGTTGCATTTTTAAACAGGATATGTATTCTCATGCTCAGTGAATTTTGAAAACAACTGAACATAAGCAAAGAACAGCAGAACGTGAGGTCATGGCTCCCTTTGTGGGCTTTGCCCCAAATGCTATGCTCCTCACCCTGCCTACTTTCCCTTTCCTCCTGTGCAGGAGAACCAAGTTGAGCCTCTTCAACTGTCAATAAAGTGTGTACTGTGACTGTGGGGGGGAGGTGAGGAGGGGAAGGTTCTGTGAACTTGATTGGCAGCCCTGGCAGGTTGGGTCAGACTTCAGGAGGAGGAGGAGGGATGCAGTGGAGGGAAAGGGATGCTGGAGCAGAGTGTGGTCCAGCTGAAGGAATGTACACGGGAGGGAAGCCTGGAAGAGTAAGCCAGACCCGGCAGCTGGGCCCTGGGGAGCTCAGTATGTAGCTCATGTAGGTCCTATGTTAGGGCGGTGTGATAACGAAGTCAGTGTGGAGGATGGAAGAAAGTACCATGGCCTAAAGCAGGGCTTCCGCTTCCAAAGGTGGGCTCCTGTCCACGAGGGTCTTTCCTGCAAGACCATTGAGCCAGCATGCCTTGGGGGCAGAGTCTGAAAGAAATGAAACATGTTTGTCCCTCCCTGTTTAGTTAAATGTGGACGGTGGGACTGTTCTTCCTCTGTTCGTGGGTGATGATCCAGGTGTACTGCGTGGAGGCTGTGGTCACTCCTGTCTCGTGCAGCGTCCTCCGGCTGGTATTTCAACGTCCATTTCCTACATGGAGTCCAGACGTTGAAGCTGGTTTAATGTGATGCATTTTGCATTTTCTTCTTTTAAAAAATTTTTTTTTTCTTTATTGATTTTAGAAAGAGAGGAAGGGAGAAAGAGGGAGAGATAGTAACACTGATGAGAGAGAACTTCGATTGGCCGCTTCCCACATGCCCCCAACCAGGGCATGTGCCCTGACCGGGAATTGAACTAGTGACTTCTTGGTGCACGGGTCGACGCCCAACCATGGAGCCACACCGGCCAGGTGCATTTTGCATTTTCCACTCAGCCAGCTGAAGGCTCTGAGGACCAGAAAGCCTGCGGTCAGGAAAAGGAGTTTCCCTCCTGCGACATCAGTGTCTACTCTCACTACCCCAACTTGCTCATGACAGTTTCCTGAGGTCACGGGGGAAGAGGGAGGAGAGGTAAGGGCCACAGGAGCTCCTTACTTGGCTGGTACTGGCATGGACTGGCTGGCGTTCCTTCTGACTCCTTCCCTTCGGGTTCTGCAGACACACCCTGTCTTAGGCTGGGTGTGAGGTCGTGAGGAGAAGCTGGGTGGGGGAGGAGAGGGAGCCAAGGAAAGCTATGACTTCAGGCCGGATCCCCAGGAGAGCCATGTAGGTTGGTTGTGAGGGGCGATCTGGAGTCCGGACTCAAGGGAGCTGGCCTCCCCGCTGCCCTCTGCAGACATTGGCTAGGGGCTGGCACGGTGCTGGGCGTGCAGGACAGACTCCCGGGCACTTGCGGGAGCTCCGGGCAGTTTCTAAAGACAGTGGCAACTGCAGGCTATTAGAGCAAGAGCAGAAGGAAGCTGGGCACTGAGTGGACAGAAATGGGAAGAGGGACCCAGGGATGATGGCAATGACAGGATCTCCTGCACCCCCTTTCCCAGAGGACCTGGCTCTTGCAAGTCCCCCGAGGCAGGTGGCTGGCACTCAGCCAGCTCTCAGAGTTCTCCTTCCTCAACCCCAGGCACCTGACAACACCCCCAGTTTCTCTCTGCTGAGGTCTCTGGACCCCTTCAGGCCCCTCTCTGGGACAGGAGTGGAGGGCTCCATGCCTGCTCTCTCTTTCTGGAACGTTCCCCCTGGTCCCCAGGAAATGCTGACCGATGCCTTTTCTGTCCTGGCATCTCTGGGAGCGCAGTCCCCTGCCCAGTTCCCTCTCCTTGGCTTGGCCATCAGCTGTGAGCCAGCCGCCTCCGAGGCCTTGGGACTATTGAGGGAGGGGTCAGGCAGCAGCCCACTGTGACCCCAGATGGTAGAGGTCCCGCCGCAGTGAGCCACAGAGCAGCTCTCTCTGAAGGACTCCCAGCCCTTTACATGAAAGTCTCACATTGCTTTTGGCCACTTTTATAAATTCCGCAGGTATTCTCCCTGCTCCTTAGGAATGGGCCTCAGGGTAAACATTTATTGGTCACATCCTGTCACACTTATTTTGCGTGACCTTCCGTAGGAAGGATGTTTGTTGAGTCCATGGACACGCGTGGAGCACCGGCTGGGAGCTGGGCGGTGGGGAGGCTGGGAGGGTCAGGCTGGCCTGCTGTCCCGAGGGCACCGGGACCCCTGCCCGCTCTGTCAGCCCCCTGTGACAAGCCCATCTGGCCCAAAGCTCTTTGAACGCCTGCCAGAGCCTGAGACTTTTATATCTCCCCTTTGTTTGAAGGGGCGGGGGTGGGCACCCCACAAAAATCTTCTCAATAGCAAATGAAGAAGTTGGAATTCCTGGTTTTTATATGAGTTGTGTTTTTGGTTTTTTTTGGCCCTTGAAGTAGGCTATTCACAGAGGAAAGTGCCATTGTTCTCACAGAGCAACCACGCAGGGGTCCCAGAGATGTTTCTGCGTCTCTCGTTTCTGGTGGGTTTCTGGCCTTCGTGTTTCATCAGAACGGAAGTGGGAGGAGCCATCAGCATAGCCCTGTCCCCGCCAGGCCCATTGGGCAGAGGACAGCAGAGGGAGGAGAGCAAGACACCGCAATGGAGTTTAAAAGTGGGGTGGGGGCTCTGACAGGCACACAATCCATTGTCCGAAGGACCCTGAGAGAGTGTGTTCTCTGAAGCTGGGACATCCATCCTTAGCAAGCCACAGGCAGCCCCTGGCTCTGCTCCTGTCCGAGCCCCCGCTTTGAGGCTTTGTGCTGCACCTCGTAATTTCAGGGAGTGGCTGGTTTAGACTGCTGTGCAGCCTAGACGTGTCTGTTAGCCTCTCTGAACCTCAGTTTCCTTGCCTATAAAATGGGGAAGCCGGTAGGATTTTGGTGCAGATTAAATGAGACATCATGTGGGTCAAGTCCCCAGACATGGTTTACACTGCCTAAATGTCCATTCGTTTCTTTCCTTGTTGGTTTTGGATTGAAAGGTGAGAACCACCCTCTTTCTGTCCAGAGCAGCCACACCTGTGACCTGGGGCCGGGGAGACTCAGTGGAGACTCGGCGGTGGAAGAGCCAGTCTTCTTTTGTGGCTCACAGGGGTCCCAGATGCCTGAGTTCTGCCCACACTGTGCATCACTCGGGTGGAACAGACGGGGCGAAGGAGACCCGAGAGCTGAAGGGACTCGGCCAGGGCCTCACAGCTGAGGGGTGTCGGAGCTGGGAGTCATCCCTTGTCCTGGGTCCTGGCTCAGCTGCCCCATATTGGGAGAGTGGAGCCAGGCTTCTGAAGTTACTCCCGGCTCCAGGGGCACGGGTGGGCCTCCCTCTTCCCTCCTCCCCAGAGTGCTCTGTTACATGGGGGAGTGGTCAGTTTCCAAGCCCGCGGCTCCAGGGGCACGGGTGGGCCTCCCTCTTCCCTCCCCCCCAGAGTGCTCTGTTACATGGGGGAGTGGTCAGTTTCCAAGCCCGCGGCTCCAGGGGCACGGGTGGGCCCCCTCTTCCCTCCCCCCAGAGAGCTCTGTTACATGGGGGAGTGGTCAGTTTCCAAACCCGCGCTCCAGGGGCACGGGTGGGCCCCCCTCTTCCCTCCCCCCAGAGAGCTCTGTTACATGGGGGAGTGGTCAGTTTCCAAACCCCCGGCTCCAGGGGCACGGGTGGGCCCCCCTCTTCTCTCCCCCCAGAGAGCTCTGTTACATGGGGGAGTGGTCAGTTTCCAAGCCCCTTAGCTCCACATGCTTCTCAGGAAGCTATCTTGACCTCTTTTTAAAACATGTTTATATTGTAAATAGCACTGCTGTGAACGTAGGGGTGCATATATTCTTCCGGACTGGTGTTTCAGGAGTCTTAGGATATATCCCAAGACATGATCTCACTTATTTGTGGAACATAATGAACTAAATAAGCTGTTGACCAAAAAAGACCCAGAGTCATGGAAGCAGGGAACAGACTGACAAACCTCAGAGGGATGGGGTGGGAGGGA